TCTTCCACAGGCGCTCGAACGGAACATGTCGCTGTCGGGACAGTATCTGGAGGAGCTTTCGAGACGCTACAAGAAGCAGGTGGAGGAACTGCAGCAAACATTGACGCAACAATCGCTCACGGTGCGCCAGCTGGAGGATCAGAGCCGGCGATATGTGGAGCAGGAGCAGCTGTACCAGCAGCAGAGCGCCGAGCTGGCCGGCGAGGTGAGGGCGCTGTCCTACCAGGTGCAGGCCTGCATCCTGGTCATCATCATTGTGGGCACCTGCATCTTTCTGATGCTCGTTCTCGGCACTGTCTACTATCGCAAGCTGCGTCGTCAGCAGCAGCAGCTAATTAAGAAGGATCACCCGGGCAATCCACCTGTGGCTAACAAAACCAAACTGGATCGCCGCAAGTCCTACGAACAGATGCCGAATCAAACCACGCCCAAGCAACGACGTCCCAGCGAGGAGGCCATGCTCATTCTGAAGGAGTGTGGGGACACCATCTTGCAGGAGCACAATCATCCAAACAGGCAACGCAAGATTTCCGTTTGCTATGGCAGCAACAATAATATTGCCGCCAATATGATAAGTGCCACCACAAACGGCGGTGGGAATGTACGGAGTTCCCTGCACAGGCGCAAGGGAGCCAAGCACTCCTGGCACAACAGTCTGGATACCACAGAGACCTCCTGCGGCGAGCAAACGGACAAGTTCTTCGATGTGGGTATGTATCGGATTATAAAACCTCGATAAAGGCTAAGTGTAAACAAGTACTTCCCGTTTCAGACACCCTGAAAAGCGTAAAGCAAAGCTCTGGCAAGGCGGGAAAAAAGAAGACCCAGCAGCAACTGGCTCTAAAGCGACAGGAATCCGCGCCGGCTAGCTTCACGCAGGATCTGCTGGCTGAAGAACCAGCCACGCAGAGCGACTTCGATGAGAGCCTGATGCTGGACAGTGATGATCTGGCCAACTTTATACCTACCAGCGATTTGGCCTACAACGAGTTCATGCCCGAGGGACCGTCAGGCTACCAGATACTGGACACAGTAGACGGGAAACCCGAAAAAGAGCCGGGAGCAAAGAAATCGCGACGTCTGTCGTCGCCGGCGTTCTTCAAGTCGCCATTTAGCAAGAGCAAAAACAAGGGCTATAGCTTCAATGGCATCAAAAACAGTCACTCGGTCCACGAGCCCACGTCCTGGGAGTGGTACCGCCTGAAGCGAAGCGAGAAGCACCAGCAGCAACAACAGGCGAAGCTGGCCAGCAAGAGCCTGCCCAGCGCCAGTTTGGACAGCTCGTCGCTGTCGGAAGTCAATTTTCCCCTAAACGCCAGCGCCGGCACGCAGAATTCTTTCCGGATACTGGGCGAGGCCATTCTGTCCTCCGGGGAGGGACGCATCACCCCGAATGGGAATGGCAACGCCACGTCCGGTGGTTTGGCGAGCAGCAGCAGCGGAAGTGGCAGTGGTGGTAGCACCACCTCATCCACCACCAAGAAGAAGCAACGCGCCCTAAACAACCTCTTTCGCAAGGCCTTTGATTTTTAACCAGAACCCAGTGTTTTCATTTTTACATCATCGTATATTGTAACTATTAGAGATTCGGATAGACCCTGCTGGGTCTTGCATTCGATAAATTGTTTGTACAAACGAATTGTTATTTTTTGAGGATTTTGAAGAGGCCCGAGAAGTGAAGAGAAAAGTGAGAGTTCCTTTTGTGTTGCAGTGAGATGCAAATGACTGTTAAGTGAAAAACAACAAATTTAAGTATAGTACTTATATATTTTGTAGTGTGCTTGATTGCGTAGTTTAAACCAGCCTAGGTTAATTGTATACGTATATTCCAAGCCTCGTAATTCTTGCTATATTCGCCCAATCCCACGATTATGTACTTTAAGTGATGAACGAAACATTTGCAAATTATTGCCACACATTTAGTTTGTTATTTTTAGCAATTTCTACATAAAATTAGTTAATAGTTTAGTCTTTATTTATAACTAAATACAATTAACATTTATTTAAAATCGTAAATCGTCTTTGCTAATGGTTCTAATTTATAAAGATTATATTTTTAACTCGCTGAGGAACTCTGCTACCTCTAGGGCATCCTCACTGGCAAGTTTCGTTTCCTTGACGGCACTGTTCAATCCTCGGCCAGCGGTCCCCATATTTTTCTTCCACTGTTCAACAGTTTTGTACTTTTCATCGTTGGCACAGTAAATAATCTCGTTGATGTCTTCGTCTAATTTGTAGCTGCACACAGCGGGGAAGACTTTGTGCAGATTGTCGAGGGCTTCGGTGCGAAGACTTTCATCGCGACACACAAGATTGAGCATAAAGAGACCTTTGGGTCCGATGATCTCCTTGATGTGCTGCAGGATTTTATTGGCTAGGAAACTTTGGGGCGGGCAACTCATACCCAAGCTGAGATCCTTGCTATCCACATCAAACAAAACGGCATCGAAGTGGATATCTAAGAATGAAGAGGCATAACAAACATCTAAAAAAACCTAAATCGTTGGTTCTCACCTTCATTGCGACAGCGCTCCACGAAATCCAATCCATCATCAATAACCACATGGAAGCGTTTGTCCTGCTTCAGCTCGAAATACTGCTCAGCCACTTCCAACATAATAGGATCAATTTCAACGGCCGTAATTCTGGCTTGACTGGAAGAAACATTAAATGTGTAAAATAATACTTTAAAAACTGGATGTGAACCTACGGTAAAGCGGCATGAAGAAAGCTGCAAAGGCCGCCGCCTCCCAAACCGATAACTAACACATCCTTCTCCACATCCTTTCTGGGATTTTGCAAAGTGGTAGCCAATTGAACACCCACGGACATGTACAAATGATGCTGGCAGGCCAAGTAGCCAAAGTCGATCTTCTTACGCTCCTTTTTGCCTTTAATTTTGACTAAAACAAAATAATGAAATACGTTAATAAAATTGTACAATTTAAGTTTAAATATACGTACTTGTTTTGACTAAGGCTTCCGACTGTACGACAAACTGATTACTAAGGAATATGAGGCGTCGCAGTGTTTTGCCGTTGGCCTCCACTTCCTCAATGCGAAAGTCTCCGGATATTTTTGAGAAGCCACAAATAAGAGTCTCCCTTTTTCCCACATCGGATCCGAGTGATAGATATGGGATTTGCTCATTGAGACCAGCCGGCGATAGGTTCTTTATGCTGTCGGCCAACTCTAGCTTAACTTCGTCCAAGGTACTATAAACTTGATCGCGATGAAGGGTAACCACAGCCAGTCGCTGGAAGTTAGCGGAGTCCTGGAGCTTTTTCCTTCCAACAGGTGTGGCAAAAAGCCACTCCACCTCTCTTCCCTGGGGAACAATGAACGCCGCATATTTGCCCAGGCCCCGAGCTGGCGGCTTATCCAATATGTGGATCGTATAGCGAGGGTTTTGCTCCGAAGGTCGATGCAAATCCATTATCACCTCATTGTGACCAGCTATGTTGGATCTGGCCAAACCGTTGCAAACCAAAGCGGCCTTTTGTACTGAGGAGACTGCGTTGCTCAGCTCAGAAACTGCGGTGAATCTCTGCATCTTATCGTTGCCAAAACCAAACTCCAGGATCTGAAAGAAAATAGACAAAGCAAATTATTTAATTTTCTGCTAAGGATTATGGCAATATATAATGTCTACTTACAGGCATCGGAAGACTTTTAAACTTGGTGGCAACGACTACGAAAACTGGCATTGTCAAGGCATCATCGGCATTTTTCTCCTTGTTGGCCTGTTCCACTCCCAGGCAATGGACAATTCTCAGCATGCAATTGTGCTTAGGCAGGAACTCCAGCAGAAAGTTAAGGATGTGCTCTTGGAGCAGGGAGATGCCCACATAACGGCCACCATTGCTATTATATAAAAAATGGAAAAAGTGAGATGCATTCGAGTATATATAAAGTGGATTTCCCACCGCATGGTCCGCAGAATCTCCTTGAAATAGTTCTCCACTACAATTCTCGTTTCGGGGGAATCATCCACGAATAAAGCATCCAGTGTTCCCTTATCCAAAGCCACTGAGAAGCTATCATCTGGGAAGGTCATGGCTGTGGCATCCATTTGCAGGAATTTCATATCAGGACGGGTTTTGGCATTCAGTTCCAACATTTTCTTCACTGCGATGGGTGAGATATCAATGTTTGTGATCTCCCTGAGAGATAATAATAGTAATTAGATTTAATAATAGGTAGGACAGATATAATAAAAAATACCTACCGAAAACCGGTGTCGTACATATCCATACTCAGTTTTGAGTTACCACATCCCAGCATCAGGATTTTGTCAACCGGCTTGATATATTTATGGATCTGATCGCACAACTCCAGATACTCGCCATACCTTGGGAAATAAAATAAATATTAGTTGAGTAAAAAAAACACATGTTGCTCGAGTCTTCCCCGAGAAGTCCCGAAAATGTTATTGCCCATATGCATACCACTCGAAGGCCTTTTCGCCCCGCTTCTTGAAGAACTCGTTCCAGTAATCCGTCTGCGCGAATTCCTCGCGGGTTTTGGGTAGTAAATTCATTGTATCAATAACAATAAAAAGGATGCAAAAAATAAACAATAAAGCGGCAAAATGTGATTGTTGAGAGCATTGCCATTCACTGATTTCTGCAACAACAGTGTGACCGGAGTACGAAAATATCGGATACTATTAAAAGGTGAATATTACTGGATATATGAATTTCCATCCAGTTTTAAATTTTATGTCTACAAATTTTATATTTTATGTGGCATGGAACTACATTTTCAATAAATTCGTTTAGTTTTCAATGAAGTTAAATGTCAAAGTGTTAAATATAAAACAAAAATATTCATAAGTGTTTTTATAACCTTTGGCTTAAATTAAGGAAAATAAAAACAAGAATTTATTACATTTTAATAAGTAATTTATTTTTGCCATTGCTTAAATTTAATACGTTTGCCAACACTGTTGAAGTAAATTAGAGTGACCCTGGCAACCGTCAATCTGTGCGATGTGCCATTCACAGCGACTAGTCGACAGGCACTGATTGGACAATTTCTTTGCCAAAGCAAACTGCCAAACGGTTTTCTGCGCTCAAAACTCCATTTACATAACGATTGACCGGGATTTAGGCAATCCCCCAGGTGCCCAACATCGCCCTCCATGTGGAAGTGTCCAGTAGATTAGGAAACAGGCCGAGACAACGGGCGAAAAGCGAGGTGAAAGCAGGCGACACTGACCACGAAAAGGGGGAGGAGGTGGTTCCTCTGAAGAAATCGAACCCAATCGACAGCTCCACCACTTGGCGGCGAAATGGGAAACCTCTAGAGCACTCGGCAGATGCAAAGACAACTGGGATCGCGATCCTCCGGACTGGGACTGGCACTCGGATTGGTTTTGGGTGTAAATGCGTGCTGCCGTTGGCCTGATGCTGTCGCACGGTGGTGGTGGCGCGGAGCCAGCGATGTCCCGGCCGGATTACGAGCAGAGTGCTCTGCACCACAGCTGCCTGCTGGTACTGCTCCGGGGTGTGGGACCATCCCGTGCCCGAATCCTTCAGCGGGCTTTCGAGAAAGTGCGACGTGTCAACCACATCCGGGTGAATGGTGGGTGGTGCTCCTAGTTGAACACCTTGAAAACTTCATTCCTTAAAAACGTACTATCCCCTCCACAGATTCCGCTGGCAATCCCCGCTCCATTTGGATTCGCTTCGTTCACGATCACCCTGTGGAGCACAACGATTGGGGCGACTTTCAGACCCATCGCCGTCTGCTAGGGCTCATCACCATCGGCAAATTCGAGAGCCAGACCGAACTCAATGAGCTGTGCCGCCAGCACGAGTCTCTGAAAGTGCGCTATGGCTCCACTCTGTTCGAATCCCGTGCCATTTTCTTTGGGCCCGATGAACCACCTCTGGAAACCATTGGAGAGGTATTAACACCTCCGCCAGCTGGAGGTCGTCGCCTGCAAGATGAGTTCACCACGCCCTCGAACTTTAAGGCGCAGGCCTTCTTTTATCGCGAACAGGATTCGTGCGTAGATCTGGAATCCCGGATTGGAGACTTTGCAAGCGCTTTGTTTTGGGTCCTGGAATCGCGACGTTTGGAGAGATCCCGAGAGAAGGCGGACAAGGTGAGCCTGCTGCTAGCGCCCTTCGAAAAGAGAGATTTTGTGGGACTAGATATGGAGTCCAGGAACAATAGGAAAAGATGCGTGGGACGTGTGATGAAGAACCTGGCGGATCTGTCGCTGCAAGCCGGCCTTGTGGATGATGCCTTGAGCTTGTACCATAATGCGAATGAGACCTTGAGGTCGGTGGGCGATTCCTTGTGGGTGGGTGCCACCGAGGAGGGCCTGTGTGCCGCCTCCGCCGTGCTGTTATATCCACAAATGCGCGAGATCGAGACACTGCACAGAAACTCTTCGCTCCAGGAGGCGGGTAAGTAGCCGAAAGCCTACATCATTTTCTCTTACTAATCCGTAATCATTTCCAGGCACCTCCCCTTTGAAAAACACCCCCGAGAAGTGGCGTGCTAGTGATGCCACTAAGAAGATCAGCGCCAATGAAGCCACTGTGAACAATGTGGACTCCACCCATCAACAACAGCATCAGCGCGTGACCTCGAACTCATCTTCCTGCTCATCAGTATCTTCCCTTGTGACGACGGCCACCAATTCCTCCGCCTCTGACACGCCTACCACTTCGTCTTCTTCCACTTCGACGATATCGGCGGCTCCGATTCCTGGACACCAAAGAAACGGCGATCTACCGGGAAACATACTCAAGGCGGAGGAGATCACCAACTACTATCGCAAGGCCATTATTAACTACAGCAAATACAGGCATGCAGCCACCATTGAAACGGAGGCGGCTCTGAAGGCCTCGCGGATTTGTATCGAGCAGAATCGACCCCTGGATGTGGCCATGTTCCTGCAAAATATCCTGTACATTAACCTCAGCATGAGCGAAGCGGAGCGAGTAAAGAGATTTGAGATAATTACGGAGCTGTATCAGCAAATTGGATATCAGAGAAAGGCGGCATTTTTCCAACGACTCGCTGCGCTGAAGCACGTGCAGCAGGGCAGTCAAGCGCCTGACTGGAATCAAAGCTATCGCCTTATGTTGGGCAGCTTTACGGGCTATCTGCTTTGTCTGGATCCGTTAGAGGTATTGGAGAATGCTGCCGGCTGGCCGGCGTTGCAGATCGATCTGGTCCAGACCCTCATAACGGCCGCAAGGCGATTGGGACAATCCGCTCTAGCCACGCGGCACATGACCTTCCTGCTGCAAACACAGTGGGATAATATGTCGCCCACGGAGCAAAGCGAAATGGCTGTGCAACTGCAGGTGACTAAACTTAATCAAGAAAAAGAATGAAGATGTAATTGTGATTTCTTGCAGAATTTAAGCGCCCAGTGCGAGGGATCTCCTGTGCCCTTGGTGCTAGAGAATGGCACTGTGATACCACCCGCAAATCTCACGGATCTGCCCTACTGCCTCGATTTTCAGGTTAAAGATCTGCCCGCCCATTTACGACCGCAGAGAATAAAGGTGGCCAAGGCGGATAGTGGACCTTTTCTGTTTACGCCTATACACTTTAACTCGGTCGACAGAAGGGACAAGAAAAAGGACAAAAATAAAATAGGTAAGCTAGTACGATATATGGATTATTCTCTTTACCAAGCTACATATTTTCTTTTTAGCTTTCCAGTGGGTGCAAAACGATCTAAGTGAGGTGACTGTGCGCCTGCGCAATCCTCTGCCCTTTGAGCTGGCCGTAACGGACATGAGATTGCTGACTAACGGTGTGGTATTTGAGTCTCTGCCCCAAACAATTGTGCTCCAGCCACATGTGCCCACATACGTGGCACTCCACGGAACGCCCATCGAGACGGGGCAGCTCGATCTGCAGGGCTTTAGCACTCACACTCTTGGCGTGAAGTCAAACTGCCGGCTGAAGCATATGCGTGGGCGTAGCTTTCCGCCCAACTATCTGGTGGATGTGATTCCCGCCCTTCCTAGGATATCCGTTAAAACTTCGCTGCCCCAGACAGCTACGTTTAGCAACATGAACAGTGCGGATATCGTTGTGACCTCTGCCAGCCTGACCCTGTATAATGGAGAATCCTCCAGCTGTACCATAACAATCACTAATGAGAGCGCCACGCTACCGTTGGAGCACCTGGAGGTTAACATAAACTCGAATGTAGAGCAGGAGCTGCAGAAAAAGATCTTTCGAATAGACGAAGAAGCTTTAAAGGTGAGATTTATTCCGTAAAAGATAGTTTGTAGCTGAAGGTTTCCTTGTTTTGCAGGCCAAGCTGCCAGTGCCTCCGCAGGGCTCCATTGAAATTATCGTGGATGTTTATGCCGAAGCGGACTTCGTTTGTCCGCAGCCACCGGCTTCGGTGCATTCCAGCGCTGCTGCCGGGGATTACGGTGCGGCATCTCTAACGCATTACTCCAATGCTTCCACCTCCGGGCACGCGAGCTTACCCTCTAGAGTTGGTTCGCCGCAACATCGTCGACACGAGCCGCAGAATTCCAGCTTCCGATCGACCTTTTCAGGCGGTCAACCGTCGCTGGCTGCCTTGAGTCTGCAGCCAGGCGGCGGAGGAGGAGCAGGACCTTCTAGTCTGGGATCGCAATATTCGCAGCACATAGAGGCACAAGTGAGATTGAAGTACTCCGGGGGAGAGGCTCTGACAGCGGGCTATTGTCGCCAGTGTGCGGTTTCTTTTAACCTGGAACTGCTGCCCAGCGCGCAGATAACTAGCTGGGATGTTCTGCCCGCTGAAGTGTAAGTTGAAATCCCTTTGTTTTCCATAGCAATTATTTTTAATTTTTTCTATTAAATCTGCAGGGCCTCCCAATTTTACCTGGTACTTGACATTTCCAACCTAACCGCTCAAGAGATGTCGCTCAACTATACAGACACCAAGAATATACTCATCGAGGCCAAAGAGAGCTGCCGTGTGCCCATACCGGTGGATCGCTGCTCCCTGGAGCAAGTGGTAGCCGCCCGGGCAGCCGAGGTAGCTGAGAATCTGGAGAGGGGTACGACTATTTATGTGCAAGATAAGGTCAATTAATAATAATAATTTTTGCCGGTTAGAGCTCTGCTTTCGGACGCAGCTTCTGTCGTTTAATGATGCTCTGAGCAAGCTCTGTTCAAGTCACATAGCTGAACGAGTGAAAATTAATTGGCTGTTGACGGGAACAGACATTCAGGGAATCGCCTCCCTGCGAGGCATAGTTCTCACCCAGTCCATGGTGGATTTAACAGCTGTATCGCCTTTGGAGTGGGGTAAGTTGTTTGTGATTAACTTTACCGATATCTTTATAATAAAAGTTGTATTTCGGTTTTAGCCATCAGCTTCCAGGAGACCCCTGTGCAGCCGCACAGCGAGATGGTGTGCACAGTGGGCCAGCGGTCGCATCTTAGCATTCAGCTGGCAAACCAATCCCTGCAGCCGCTCAGAAACTTGGTGCTGAGCATCAAGTTTTATCAAGATTACCTGAACGGAATGGAGAATTACAATTTGGAGACACGCGTGGCCATTTCAGGACCAAATAGGTGAGCGATGAACCAAAAAATAAACACTCACGATATAATATATTCTTAAACTACCTACCTATCCTATTTTCAACCCCTTAGAATTGCGATTCCCATACTGGAGAAGCAGGAGCAGAAACAGCACACTTGCTCTGTGATATTCTTTACACCCGGACGCTTCAAGGCCAGTATCGAGTGTACCAGTAATCCGCAGAAGCAATTGGAGCAGCCGGCGCCTGTGCTAACCCGTTCCTGTCCGGTGGAAACCGAGAAAGTGGGACAGTCAGTCATGTTCTCCTCCAGCTACGATGAGCAGCAGGTTCACGTGTGGAAATTCATTCCGCCCATCGAGGTGACCGTCGTGGAGCAGTGAAATGTTAAATGTCGCTAGTTTAATTTCGTTATAAAGTTTCTGTATGTATTGTGTATACTCCCAATCATCCGCGTTCCCGTTAAATAGTTTGATTCCTCCGCTCTGTTATAACTACATAAAACAAATACAAAAATCAATTGTTTGTAAAAATTCTAAACTAGAAACAAAATATAACGTATAACACTGTATATAATTAAGCGCAAACACACATCATATATAATGTACCCTAAGCTTGTTAGAGAAAATGGCCATAACATAAATCTTGTAGAGCATATATCCCACGCCTGAAACACATATACATATTTAAACAAGCGTTACGCCGTGGTGTATTTATATAGATAGCAAATGTTCCGCGCACTAAAAGCCACGCCAAGCATTATACATTTTGATAACAAACTCGTATTTACAAAATATTTTTATACAATTACTGGGGCAATACACATGTATCATTATTAACTAAAAATTAAGATTGTTGCTAAAGAAATTATGCCAATGAAATGTGTGAGTAACTGTAGTGTAAACGCAATAAAACTCTATTTGACGAAACATGGAATTTGGTCTGAACTTTATCTCATCCCAGTCTTCGTATCTCGTCCATGGTGAATCCGTTGCGTTTGAGCATAATACAGGAGAGCACATAGACGTAGTAGCTACCCGGAATGAAGGTCAGTGCCCCGATGATGCCTAGCGCCCACACGCGATCCGATCGCTCCCGGCTCGTATCCGTCAACCAATTCAGGGTGGCGAAGGCAATGCAGATCTGGAAACAAAGAAATACATGACCAGTAATTTCTTGTGCATTGATAAGGTATCGTACCACATGGAATGGATAAGTGTTAAACATAATTTGAGTGTTATGTTTACTAATAACGATAAATGTATATTTTTAACGGAGCTATCTAGTGTATTTTTTACTAAAAATACATTAAATTTAAAGAAATAATTTTACTTAGTAATAATACATAACATACATAAATATGACATTCTATAATTTAAAAAAAAATCAGTTTACAGGACTCATAAGTGGTTATATTAAATTTATAAACAGTCAGAATATGATTAAACTTTAAAAATAGACAGTTTCCAAATTGTACTTACAATGCCACCGATGAAAAGCAATAGGATAATGACAATGGTTTTCCAGGGAACTGGACCTGGTACCGCCGGTTCTACCCACTGTTCATTGACGAATCCATCTGTCTCGCATTCTGTCTCCACCACTTTGATGTACTCCCCAGCGGCTGCTGGCTGGGAACTTCCACCCCCCGCGTTCAGACGAAGTCGCGAATCCGTTCTGGTGGGCATCTGCATATTTGGACTACTGGCCGATCTTGACCGGGTGCAAATGAAACACTAAACAAACATTTTGAGGCGACTGAGGCATTTCAATGTTATCAGAAAAACAGCTGATGGAGCTGCCAACCTGGCGACAATAAAGTACAGTAAGCCCCAAATAAATTAAAATACAAAGCAGCTATATCAAAAAATTTAATTCTGAATGTTAAAAATGTTTGTATGTTTTTTAAAGAATAATCCTTATTTTGTTTAAAAAATATATTACAGGTTTACTTAAATAATTTTTAAGCAAATGCCTAAAGGCGTTTATTTTAGTTATTTAGCAATATTATCATCAATTTCAAAAATAAAATCATGTATGTATGTAGGTATCATAGCATTTATCAGTTATCATTAAATGATTTTTTCCGAAGACCGATCGTCACCACTTTTATCCCCATCTGTGGGCTCCCAATGGAATCCGTCGTGGGGCAGCGGGCTTGGTATAAATGGAGAAATCCAGGTCCATTTCATGCGTCTCCCCAAAAACGACTCAAAGTTTCGACGCAGTCCTCGATCATACAGAAAGTTCTGAAACTTAAACTCATTACATATTGATCCACTTTTGATGACGGACCAGTGCTCCATAATCATATAGGCAGCTCCACAAATCCCGATCCAAATCATAGCGAACGCGGCTGCGAACACAAGCTCGTGTCTACCAGGAAGTCCGAAATCCAATATTTCCATAATGTTAGAGGGCACATCGAGATCGTTATTGCCAAAATGTTTTTTATTAAAATACGATGCTGGCATGTGCAGCAATCTGAATTTGTACCTCCCTCCGCGTAGAACATAGATAAAGATACAAGATGATATTAAAGAGATCAGGCAGCTTAGAAACAAATAGATTACGAAATAGAAGAAGTATCTATAGTTTGCATGGCCAATGCAGCAACCTGTAACAATGCAGTGATGATCTCGCTTTAGGACACATACATCACACGAATTGCAGTGACTTGCTCGAGGTGGTGCCAAGATCCGGCACACATCGCACTTGTGCCAGTCCTCATTGTGTCTTCCCCGCTCCAATTGATCCCTCATACACTTGGGATCGATGGTTGAATCCACCAGTATGCACATGACAAAGTTTGACAATATATTAGAGGCGAAAAACACCGCCAAAACCCGTTGAAATATGTAAATGGGTGTCCCATAATCCGACAACTCCGGCAGCACTATCTCCATGAGTATATAGTAAATCGCGAGCACTACGCAAAAAACAGAAATCATAGTTAGTAGCTCCTTCTTCTTTTTCGGCCAGATTTTCTTCAGTGAACGGAATCTCATTTTTTTGTACATATTCAAAATTTATTTAAGCCTGGATGTCAATTGAACATTGATTTGGACAGAGTTTTGTCATGAGTTTGACTTAGGTCTACTAGACAGTTAGGTTCTTGTAATTCTATTTATTTTCTCCTTTATGTTTACGTTTAAAATATATTGTTGACATTATTCATCCGATTTTTGTCATCATGGAACGGAACTCTGTAAAATTAAAAACATGGATTAGTGTGTGAACGATATTAAAGAAATTTATTAATTATAACATTTTGAAAATCAGTTCTACTATCAAGATAAATCAACATAGACATCAGATGTCCCTATCATAAGGTCTCATCATAAAAATCAAGAATTTCTATACTAAAAACAATACTTACATTCGTGGGAATTTTAATTTTTCAGTTGATCCATTTGAGATATCCGGTTCACCCTTTTCCTGCAATAATTATAAATGATGGAGCTATTAGGACATTTTCTAACATAAGACTCAACATAAGAATTTTTTATTTGAATAATCAGTTCTACTATCATGATAAATCAGCATAGATATCAGATGTCCCTATCATAAGGTCTCATCATAAAAATCAGGGATTTCTGTACTATAAAGAATACGTACATTCGTGGGAATTCTTCTTTTTCGGTTGATCCATTTGAAAATCCGGTCCCAATTCCCCTGCAATAATTATAAATTACCAAATTATTGTAGTATTTTCTTAAAAAACTCCCAACAGAAGAACTTTTTAGTTAAATAATCAGTTCTACTATCAAGATAAATCAGCATAGACTTCAGTTGTCCCTATCTAAAGATCTCATCATAAAAATCAATGGTTCTGTACAATAATAATAATACTTACATTTGTGGGAATTCTATATTTTCGGTTGATCCATTAGATGTATCCAGTTCCGCCTTCACCTGCAATAATTATAAATTAACCAGTTATTGTAGTATTTTCTAAGATAAGACCTAACAGAAACATTTTTTATTTAAATAATCAGTTCTACTATCATGATAAATCAGCATAGACATCAGATGTCCCTATCATAAGTTCTCATCATAAAAAAACGTGGGTTTGTATATTGTAAATGATACTTACTTATGGAGGAAGATTTATTTTGAGGCCATTGTATTAGGGTACAGCAATTTTATCTAAAAGAAAAATATAATTTTAGTACTTTTCCAGAGAAGACTACACACTCAACACATTTATTTTTGTAATCAGTTCTACTATCAAGATAAATCAGCATAGACATCAGTTGTCCCTATCTAAAGATCTCATCATGGTCGTCTAATTAATTTAAATAAAAACAGTACTCACCGCCTGAACGGTTCCACGTTGGTCCTAAGAAGTCTCAAAATGAGACTTCATGGTTCAATTGCCACGCTGGTCAAGATCCGCACATTTTTTCGGTCACGTTTAACCTTCAGCTATTTAAAAGGAGTTTGCCAATTATATTTCCATGAATTTCCTGACATTTTCTTGTGGATTTCATCTTTATTTTAATATATTCTTTCATAGCTCAACAACACGTGGTGTCTTTTTGGCCTGATGAGTTAAACTGTGACTGCTTCACCGCTGTGACACGGAAACCAAAAATAAAATACTGGATACTGGAAATTTTTAGGATTTTTTGGTGCCTTTTGAATGGCGCCCCGTATTCAAGATTAATTTGAATTTGTCAATTTTTTCTATATTTTTATTATATAAATAGATATTGCGATTCGGACGCTGTTGCGGATACATAACTTGTTCTAAACACTTCATCTCCAACTTTCGCTTCCTAATTGGCCAACAAATTAAATTGCTTATTACTTATGATTTACATGGCAGTCAGTGACCTTGCATGTGACTAATCTGAATCAACAAAACTAATCTCACTCGATACAAGGCTGTCATAACTCGAAAAATAAGGCATTTTTTGGGAAAACATTCAACTAGGTAACCCTAAATGAGAGATGATTCTCAAGCCTCTTTCCGTATTCTAAATACAATTAATGTAATGTAAGTGGTGGTGGTATTTTTAAAATTTTAAAAAACGTTTGGCTTTACAACAATTGCCAAATGTAATCGAATAGGAATTGGGGAACAAGACAAGTATGGCTGATTCTCTTTTTATGGTTATTGATTTATGGATCCCTTACAGAGTATAATCATATTTTTTGGGCTACGACAGTCTTGCATTAAGTGAGCTATCTGCATACTAATTGTGTTCCAGCCGACTCATGGGTCCTCTGTGGATGTGGTGGCCTCCTGCGCTTGCTGCTCCTGCTCCAGTTCCTGCTGCTGCGCCAAACGCAGACGCTTCTTGGCCTGGATGTCGGCCAGCGTTTGTTCTATGGAGCGCATGTCCTTCTTGTTCTTGCTGGGAACGAATCCGTAGCTTTGGTTGGTCTCCGTCTTGCGAGCCGCCTGCAATGCGGCAGACTCTCCAATGAGGTGGGCATACTTGGCCTTGTAATTGGTCGGGGGTTTAACTTCGCCGGAGTCGTGATCCCCGGCTCCGGATGTGGAGGAGTTCGCCGCTTCGGAGGTAGATGCCTCCTTGTCACTCTGCTCTTGCGCCAATCGCTCCCGCCGTCGCTCTGCGTACTCTTTGGCAATCTCCGGATTCCAGCCGTCACCGTTCCGGCGGGCCGTGACCTCATCTTCGCCAGGAGCGTGCTCCTTTTTGTACACAACCGAATGCCGGTCCACATCCTCGCGGCCAAAGCTCATGGCAATGAAACCGCCATTCTCGGCTACCTCGTGTATCACAGAGCGATGCACCTTGTCCAGCGGCTGGAACTCGATGCAATGTCGGTCGTCCTTGGCGAATCTACCCATTCGTTCGTCCACATATTTTCGGAATCGAAGGAGTTCCTCCTTCTGTTTGTTTTGCATCCGCTCCATCATTTCGCGCTGCTTCTTGATCATAGTCTTCTGCTGCTCGTTGTTGGCAGGCGGAGCATCCATGGCATTCAGTATCGAGTCGAGCAGATCCATTTTCCCGCCGTGTTTTCCTCGCTTTTCCGCCGTGATTTCCTCGCTTGTTGTTGATCAACTGGCGGAGTGCGCCTGCGATGCGATTCCACCGAAAGAAATGCGAGGGAATCTCGGTTAATTGGGCTGTTCGCTCTTTTTAAGCGGTTTTCGGGGTACTTACCACTCTCTGGCGTTTATTATTAGCCCCTTGGGGGTGTTCGATTGTCGTTAAGTTGCTTCTTTTATCGGGGTAAAGTAAATAGTAATTATAAATATATTGACAACCGGTGCTTGTGCACCAAATATATTCTGCGAAAAATACTGAAATTCAGGGATGCCAACTTGTTCGCAATGGCGGTATTTTGGTATTTTTAAACAACACAACAGCTGTTTACACTCGGCGGCAAATTTTAAAATTATTGATTAAATATTCTCAAAACTAACAAAAAAGAGATTGCAAATATTTGAAAAGTCAGAAACATCTTATATGATAAGAAAAAGAGAAAGTAAGTTATAACTCTAGTTTTGAAAGGTATGGTGTAAAATGAAGGTTTTTATTAAAAAGAGTAATAAATAAAGTCTTTATAGTTTTTTAACCAGATTTTGTATTTCATCTTTTAAATTTATCAGGTATTGTATATCGTTTTGATAATTCTTTGTTTGTTATATTCCCTTTTCTGTCCATATATTAAGCTATCATAATTTTGCCGATGTCGAACAATAATTAGTTTCTCAAATAAATAAGTAATCATTTAGACAGCCCCATTAGTTTATATTTTATAGGTTACAATGGAATTTTGCAGATCAGTGTAAATGAGTTCAGAAAAAGAGTTGGCAGGTCCTTTAGCGCTTTTGTATTTTAAAAACATTTTCCACTTTAAGTCCGAATAAATACCGTTTTAAGTCACGGACACGTGCTAAAATGGATGCAGAAAGATCCACACTGGTCCACTGGTTCCGTAAAGGACTTCGGGTCCACGACAATCCCGCTTTATCGCAGATTTTCAAAGCCGCCAATGCGAAATCCGGCAAATATTATATCCGCCCGATATTCATTCTGGATCCGGGTATCCTGGATTGGATGCAGGTGGGAGCCAATCGGTGGCGGTTCCTTCAGCAAACGCTGGAGGATCTGGACAAGCAGCTTCAAAGACTCGATTCCCGTCTATTCGTGGTGCGCGGGAAGCCCGCAGAGGTTTTCCCGCGGATATTCAAAAGCTGGCGCGTGGAACTCCTGACTTTCGAGACGGACATCGAGCCGTATTCCATCTCCAGAGATGAGGCCGTACAGAAGTTGGCCAAATCCGAGGGTGTTCGAGTGGAGACTCACTGCTCACACACGATTTACAATCCGGATTTGGTTATAGCCAAAAATCTTGGCAAGGCTCCTATCACCTATCAAAAGTTTCTAGGCATTGTGGATAAACTAAAGGTACCCACAGTTCTAGGGGATCCTGAAAAGCTTTTGAAAAAGATTGAGCCACCTAAAGACGAAGTCGAGCAGAAGGATTCGGAAGCCTATGATTGTCCTACTATGGAGCAATTGGTCAAGAGACCAGAGGAGCTGGGACCCAATAAGTTCCCGGGAGGTGAGTATGTTTATAATCCTTCAAATAAACTTATTTAATACTATATCTTGATTTATTTCCATAACCAGGCGAAACAGAGGCTCTGCGGCGCATGGAGGAATCCCTAAAGGACGAACTTTGGGTGGCCCGCTTTGAGAAACCCAATACGGCACCCAATTCCCTGGAGCCCAGCACTACCGTACTGAGTCCTTATCTGAAATTTGGATGCCTAAGTGCTCGACTGTTTTATCAGAAGCTCAAGGAGATTCTCAAGCGTCAGACGAAACATTCCCAGCCTCCTGTTTCGCTAGTTGGGCAACTTATGTGGAGGGAATTCTACTATACTGTGGCGGCAGCCGAACCTAACTTCGATCGGATGTTGGGCAACATCTACTGCCTGCAGATTCCCTGGCAGGAGCAGCCCGAGCACCTGGAAGCCTGGACTCATGGACGCACCGGCTATCCTCTTATCGATGCCATAATGCGTCAGTTGCGTCAGGAGGGTTGGATCCATCATTTGGCACGGCATGCGGTGGCCTGTTTCTTAACGCGCGGAGATCTTTGGATTAGCTGGGAAGAGGGTCAGCGGGTCTTTGAGCAGCTACTGTTGGATCAGGATTGGGCCCTCAATGCTGGCAATTGGATGTGGCTCTCCGCGTCCGCCTTCTTTCATCAATACTTTCGGGTCTACAGCCCGGTGGCCTTTGGAAAGAAGACGGATCCCCAGGGTCACTACATAAGAAAATATGTACCGGAACTCGCAAAGTATCCAGCTGGCTGTATTTATGAGCCCTGGAAGGCCTCACTGGCCGATCAAAGGACATACGGCTGTGTTCTGGGCACGGATTATCCCCACCGGATTGTTAAACACGAAGTGGTGCACAAGGAGAACATTAAGCGAATGGGCGCCGCCTATAAAGTGAATCGGGAGGTGCGCACGGGCAAGGAGGAGCAGTCGTCCTTCGAGGAGAAACCAGAAACCTCCACTTCAGGCAAGCGGAAGGTGCGAAAGGCAGCCGGAAATGCCCCCAAGCGAAAACGATAAAACCGAAATATGTTTGCTATTTTAAGAAAAAGGAATTATAATATGGGCTTAGTATACGTTTATATGTGAATTTGAACAAATTTTTCATGTAATATTTAAGACATTAGTCTTAACAGTCTTCTACCCTAATTAGGGTAGGTTTAGTGGTAGTTTTAAGTGTTTGTTGTTCCTTAACCGCCTGTAAAACCAAGCTGTTGTACAGCTAACTTGATTGAATATGAAATTTTAAGATAACTGGAAAAGTAGTTATAGCGCGTACTGTTGAATTTAAAATTAAATATATTTGAACCAACATATTATTATGGATAACAATTGATATATGTTTTGGTACTACGGCTTTGTAACATAATGCATACATCGGAAACAATTTACCCTTGAATTTAACTTCTTTCCTAATCGAGTTGTGTCAGTTGTCGAGCAAAGCGGTGAACTTCAGTCATATCTAAAATTTCGGCAGCTTAAGACCTTCCAATTTTTGTTTGTAAATAAAGTATTTTTTTAAAATTCCCTTTGCGGTTTTTTGTGTGATACGACCTTATTTTCAAAAATTCAACTCACCCACGAAAATCATGTTTCGCAACTTGTCGATGTTGAGAAACACGCTGGCAGTGCAGCGGACTCTGATTTCCCGCCTGACCTCGCGCTCCAAAATGTCGACCGGAGTTACGTGCCTCACCATTAATCGACCGAGGAACATCGATGGCGTGACAGTGATAGATATTAATATGAATGATATGGCCAAGAATGATATGGATTTCAATCGTAATTTCGTCAATTCGCTGACATCGGTGGACCGCCCCCATTTCGTGGAACCAGTTCAGCCAGTGGGCACTGATGCGGTTAAGTCGCCACCTACGGAGGACTCTGCTCCCGCCGATACCGTGGATATCTTGCCCGCCGGTGCACCCAGTTCCGTTCTAGGCGTCGACGGAACTCCGATTGTACCCATCGAGATTGACGGCTGGAATCAGGACGAGGAGGATCCCACCGTGCAGAAGAACGTGAAGGACGTGGACATCGGCAATGACGACGAGTACAAGGCCGAGATGGCTCTGCGGGTGCCAGAGATCAGGGAGGCCCAAACCGAGTACAAGGGCATCAAGGTGAAGCTGCCGGAAACGGCCAACCAGGATGTGGGCACTTATCGTTTCCGTCGCGAGGCTGAGGATCTCAAGGCGGTTGGAGACGACACGCGTCTGGTTCGATTCGACAAGAAGTAGACGAAACATGTTTTTTGTTCCAAATTTCGCCCACTATCTTCCACTTGTGTTAACTTCAACGAATGCTTTCAAAATTTGTTTGAATATTCTGGTCGACCTCCGCTAAAAACTTTTCCAATTTTGTAATAAAGTTGACCATTCTAATGGGAATGGCAACTGGAATTGGATGGAAGTGGGTTCGGCTGTAGTCGGCGTTATCATTGATGTAATCGGAATAAAAATTTACTTTAGGTATATAATGGAATTATTATTATATGATGGATGTGTACTATTGAGAATTTAGGAGCTAAGTTATACCACACCTAATCAGATGGTTTAAGTATACCCAAATAACGAGTAAAAGGAAGCGTTCAGACCCTATAAAGTATAAATTGATGGCCCGATCTAAATGCCAGTGCAAGCATATGGTCACATATTAGGAGTATGCAAATTTCAAAATTGTTCCCAGTTTGGTTGATTGTTATTATCTGTGGACCGATGGCGATGCTGCAGACATGGCCACTAAGAACTGTCAGTTGGCGACCGCTCATGCTTAAATGAAAATCCAACTATAGACCACGACCACTATTTTAACGCACCCCATTCCACTTTCCATATCACAAAAGATCGTTTTGTGGTCAATGGCAACCGAAACCGGGGCAAACACTTCCCATAAATTGCATTAAAAGCGGGCCAGAAGCGAAAACTACTCGTAACAATGCAGCAGATATAAACACGCTGCAAAATGTTTGTAGGCTCTAAACCAAAATTGAATTTGCGGTTTTGCCTGCGGGGGCGTGCCTGTGGGCGTTGGGAGGTGGGTGGTAAAAGTGTGTGCAGGTGGGTTATGGCAAATAACTGTAAATGAAGCTAAAATGCGGTCAGCCGAATGGGGGATGCAATAAAACTGGCCATAGGCTCGACGGAAATGGGAGGATGGTCAACAAGATTGATTACAATCAATATGAACAGCATAGAGTATATTAAAAGAAATCCGGAAATTTTCTTGCCCCAAGACTAAGCGCTATAAATTCGGAATGCATTTTGACTGTAAATTTCGACAACACTAGAAATATTCCGCATATACTGTTTTAAATACAATATTATACTTCCTCGCACTTTTTAGTGCATAATAACCTTCGAAATAAACACATATTTTAATAATTTAGTTTAAGATATCGCTTAATAATAACTATATTCGTCGTTTTCGTTGCTTTCATCATTTTCATTTTCGGGATCACATTGTTTCTTATTTCGCAAAAGGTTAGTCAGTTTTATAGCATTTGAAAACTTGTATGCCATTTGCAAAGATTTTTTCTGCCTTCGATAAAATTGAAGACACTTTTTAGTGTTTTCAATGAGAAGTTTATTAATCAGATTATCGATCGTGGTGATGCGATTCGTAATACTGTTTTCCAAATCCTGCCGACGTTCATTGTAGATATCAAATTGAGCTCGGACCTTAAATTTCTCTCTCATAGGACTCGTCTTACTAACAGTGTCAAGTTTTTTAATCCACTGAGAAAACTCCGTGTTTCCCATAGACAAGACTTTATATTTTTCCACCATATCTGTAACTCCCTTGGTTGCTGCGTCATTAAGTTCCGCAAGTGTAGTGCCTAGAACTTGAGGAATTATAATTTTATTGAGCTGAAAGGCAGTCTGTGAGTATAACAAAACGTTCTTACTGTAGCCTAAATTTGACAATAGGAATATTGCTGTAATCTTCATACTGCTAATTCGAAAAGCTAGCTGAAACTAACGTTTAGTAAGGGTAAGATTACATGTGTATATCAAAACAATTCGATATGCTTTAAAATGGCAAGCATTCCAAATACCATAAAAATAAATCCGTTTCCGATCTTAATAACTTTCTAAAAAACCCCACCTCTTCCAAATGTATTTAAAAATTTATTTTTAACCATTTTTCAAAGACCTATTTATTAACAGACATCTTGAATTTTCTAAAAAAATAATTCATGAAACCAAAATTTATTTCGGTGTTGATAATTAAAGGTGAATTACCATTCCTTACAGCATTAACATTAATGATTCAGCTATGAAAATAAATTCCCACTTGTTTCAACTGAAACTTTATTTTTTTTCAACTTTGTTCAAAAACAAAACAGAACAAAAAAAATTTAAAAATTTAATATTGCTTAAAATTTATAAATAATAATCATCTTCATCATCATTTGTATCATGTAAATTTTTCGGGCATGAACCACTATTTTTAGCAAATTTGATGTCTTTCATAGAATTGGAGAGCCCTAAGGCGTTTTTAAGTTCAGTTTTCTGCAATTTGTAAAATTTCACACATTCCTGGCCTCCCATTTTTAAGTTTATCAATTTTCTGACTCTGGCCAAACGATTATTAATTCTATCTTCAAGTTCTTGACGTCTTTTGTCGTATTGGTTGAATTCAGCCAGCAATTGTATTCTCCATATAACAGTTCCCGTACCAAAGACTGGCTTTTCGATAGCATGGAAGAGTTTTTCAATCCACCGGGAGAATTCAGCATTTCCATGGGACAAGTGCCTATATTTGTTTACAACATCTTGAAGTCTCTGTCTATTTTCACGCTCAAGATAATCTTCACTTAAGGCTGTGTGATATATTATATTATTGAGATATAAATTTGAAGCTCTAACTGGACTTACCATAGCCAAGATTTGCCAATATTAAGATAGGTATGATCTTCATCTTGCTATGGAGAAACGCCAACTGATACTGGCATTGAATAAGTTCTTATTTTATAGATTTAAGCTTTAAAAAAATCAATTAGTCAAGCTTAATCTAAGGATTAACGTTTTTATATAGGAAAAAATACGTGAAAATCTGCAAAGCGAATTATATTACTAAAAGCTTGCATATGTAAGTTGTAAAGTGTGTAACTATGTATTATTCTGTTGATAGCTGTATTGTTTCAATATTTTCTAACAATAAAATGTAAGTAATCTCTGCTTTTGACGATATAGTTAGTAAATATTATTTATAAACCTTAAAGCAAGATCATTTTATCAATTTGTTGTTTTCAAAACTTCGCTTCCGTACTTAAGCCTAGTTACTTTCATTAAGAATATATATTTTCTATATCCAGAAAGGTGTATCTATTATGTATAGCTAACGGGTAGGATAAACGTATCAAACCCAATGCCTGCAATATCTTTCCGACATGGCAATGGATACTCGGGGAAATTCACAGCCGGTAGTTTGCGCCTGGAAATGATGTGGTCGGTTAGTTGCGGTCCATGTGGTGGTTGTTGGTTCTAGCTGTTCCTCTTGATGACGTTGGGCATGGAAATGACGACTGGCTGACGGCAAAACTTTTTTCTTTTCGGACCCAACCGTAAATGTAACTACGGCAGTTAAAGTTAGGCCCTCCGGCAGTAGGTCAGACATCCGACATCCAGACATCAGACGCCAGACCAGTGCGGTTTTTAAATGAAAATGCCCAAGCCGAAAAATTGCCAGCCAGTGGCATTTTTGGCATTTTGGGGGCTATAGCAGATAACTTTGAGCATGAGTAGGGTACCTCTTTTTTTACATAACACTCTTCCCAAAAATATGTACTAGATAAAAAAGTTTACCTTTTGGTTAATATTAAAACCAAAAGTATTTGTTATTTTCCAAGTATATTTCCTATTTATAAAATAAAAAAAAAACGAAAATAAAAAATTTTTGTAAATTTCTTTAATGTTTAAAATCAGTAACATTTATTGTAAACCCATTTTAAATTTTGGTCTTGGTCATTCTAATCTTACAACCTAAATTGATTGACTTATTCATCATACCATTTTACTATTATAAATATTTGATTTTATTAAAGTGTGAACCGCAGCAAGAATAATCGATGAGTCAGTCTCAAGTGGACCGCTCAGCTGCATCGCCCCGATCTGCCACTCCCCTTTTAATCCTGCCACTCCCCCAACCGGAGGCCATCAGCATCGTCATTATCATTACCGTTATCATCGTTGGTCAACTGGCATTTCCGCTGGGCCCGAGAGTTGGCCAAGGGCCATTACAGAAGTTGACCAACTTTTAATACCCGCACTGGCCATGTTGCGCATGTGTAATCCCATTAAAATCCAATAAGTTAAATTATTTCCATTATTATTATGTGAACGCACTTTGTAGCCGCCCGTCCATCAGTTTATCCGTCCCATTCCCCTCATGCATCCACCTCTTTTGTGTCCTGCGTGATAACAGCTCATGTGGGCGTTTATCTCTCGTGTGGCTTTTGTCCTTCAATGCTGTTTCCCGCCTCACCTCTACACTCAAAAAAATGTTCTTCTGTATTTTATACATTTGTTAGAAATTATTCCAGGACTTTGTGAATTGAACTGGAATCTAAAACTAAGCCTTTAAATTTAAAGCAAACCATATAATAATTAATCACACTATTTCAATAACACTGTTTAATAAACACTATTAAATTAAATAATTTAATGTTGTTTCTAAATAACAAATTTGTTGTTAATATCTATGAAATGGTGTGGTATTATATTTTAAAAAAATTGTTGTTAATATCTATGAAATGGTGTGGTATTATATTATGTAAAAGTTTTTTAAAAGTTAGTTTTTAATTCTAAATCCACAATCTCCTTCAATTAAATGGTTTATAATATTACAAATTAGTCTACATTTAGAAAAAATTTTTACATTTATTAGGAATAATTTTAAGCTCCTTTAAAAGTCTCCTATACAATTATATTTCAGTGCACGGTTTAAAATCTGGCGGCAGCACTTTTGACCAATATCTGCAACACTTCAAACTCTGCTGGCTGTTTCTGTTTCATGTCCCCTGTTTGTTGGCCATTAAATTGCATTACGTTCGTGCAATCATAATGATTGCCATTGGCATTGCCGTTGTTGTTTCCATTGTGTCGAGTAATTTGCGTATATTTTTTAATTACTTGGATGCTGGATTCGGAGCTTAAGAGCCGCCGAATCGTCGATGGGACTTAACATTAACAATAGATCTCGTCAATGAACGTTTCTCGTAGGGCTCGGTGTAAAAAGAAATTCATGTTTATATGTTAAGCTCATATTTTACAATCTTAATTGGATGAACAAACATTTTAAAATATTTTCGGAGTGTTAAGGGTTGTGATGTTATATCTTAAAGTGTTTTTTTGTTTGTTTTGTGTTCGTTTATCGAAAGGACTTGAGACCCTCAGCCAGCTTTATTGATTAGTAAAAGCCCTAACACAATCACGTGCAATTTACCTAACAATGATTACACAGTTGAAATAAGTAAGCCACTTCTTCAAATATTCCAACAAATAGGTATTACATGGAATTGAAAACTTGGCCGGACCAAGCCCTTTGATAACACGCTTACAATGGCATCGTTAATGGATCCAGAGCTTTGGACGGATGCAATCACCATCAATATCCAGCAATCAATAGTCGATGAGCCAATCGAAGGCAAACCAGACCATAAATGCCAGTGAGCCACTTGAAAGTCATCAAAGCTGTTATCTAATGGAATTCTTAAACTTCTGCCGGTCATTTTCCCCCTCTTTTCTCTTTATTTTCCCAGCCAAAGGATCCATAATTAAACATGCAACGCATAATGGAGCTCTAATGGCTAATGAATGGGGTGGATTGGGTTGGGTTGGAAAGCGGATGGAGATGGAAATGGAGATGGAATGCAAGATGCCGGGCGGTGTAAAATTTGCATTTTTCCTCTGTTTTCCGCCGCGCCAATGGAATTGAAAATTAACTCATTAAACTCGTCGGTGGCCAACGCGTCGTATACGTAATGCCGCAAGATTTCGCCAAAGATTAATGATTTTCCAAGTGACAGAGTGAGAAAGAGAAAGAGGGAGCGAGAGGGGTTGAGAGGTGGAAAACGTGAGATATAGATCTCCCGGTTGGCGAGAATTTCCATGCAATTATTTCCATATCAACTTCAATGCGCCGTGAAAAGTCTCGCAGCAATGAAAAACCGATTTGCTGTTGTGACAATTGTAATTTTTCACTCGCTTGGCTTCATTGTCCGAGTTAAACAGATGATGCCACTGGCAGCACTGCCACTGACGCAGCCACAGCCACTTCCTCAGTACCCCAGTTCCTCAGATAATCAGAGGTTCCTCGCAGGGCTTTTCCTCCTCTGAATTTCATTTAAATGATTACGGTTTTTCATTTCCCTTTCGCAGTTGGTTTCTGTATGCTTGTTTTTGTGTCGCCGACCATCACGTGAGGCATACATTTTTCATCGAGCCCCCCCCCCCCCGGACTTTTGGGTGTATTTTGCACTCCATTGGTCGCCGGTTTTCGGGGAGGATGACCAATTGGTTTTATGATCCATTCCGGCACACTTATTTCCTGCTGCTTATGTTGACGAGTTCTCTTTTACGAGCCCCTTTCATTTCACTCAATTTTCTTAATCAATTTTTATATGGCCGAAAACAACATAGCTGATAAAGCAGAACAATAAGTAAACTAAAGATGATATAGTAAATATATATCACAGTGCTATTTTTTGAAGGCATTTAATTTTTAAATTTAAAATAAATAAACATTTAATGCCAAATTGTTTTTCATTTAAAATTAGCCAACCACAAACTGAACAATTATGAAAATTAGGCATATATTCTCAAAAGTTTGGCTTCAAATCTAGCTCATGTAAATATATTTTTGCGGTTGCCCAAAAACTCGGCACATGCCAATTATGCAAATTCGTTTTTCGCTTATATGGCCTCAACGCAATGCTACCAAATGTTCCGAAATGTTTTTAAAAATTCATTAGAAAATAAGTTTCAGGAAGACCCCTTCATGTACGCCTAATATGATTTCCTTTCCAACAACCAAACTAACTAAAACAAAAATAGTTGCAAACTACAAAATGATAAGTTGAAAGTTTAGTTGGATTAGTCTGAAGTGTTGCTGGGTAGAAAAAATATACGAGAAAAAGTTCAGATGAAAGTTGGGGAATTTAATAAATGCTTAGTTTTAAATGCTCAAATGGGAAGATAAATAGCTAAGTCAGGTTTAAAAGGACCTATGACATATCTCGGTGGAAATGTAGACAAGGCCAAATCGGAAATATAATTTAAAAGTAAATTTCAATTACCGAATGCAGGGTGTTTATAAATTATGAGCGGGATCCGTGACCGCAGCGCAGACATGATACAAAAGTAAATGCAACATTTTTCGAAATATCAGCTATTCCCCCGCCGGGTCGCAGCTCTTTTGTTGCCATTTCTGAACGACCGCAAGCCAGTCCCTAAACATTGGCCCAAGGACTAAGGGGACCCAAGGAGCGAAGGACCAAAAGACCAAAAGACCAAAGACCGGTCCCGGTGATGGGGCACTGAGTAATATTTATTATCACAAAACATTTGTGCAAATGTCCTGGTCGCATAAGCAACGACCCTGTCGGCCAGTCCTTGGAGAACATTTATCTTATTATCTTTGCATATAGCGGAGGCAGCAACAACGGCAACAATGTCGCATAAATAAGACTCAGCGCGGCAACAACAATGCGATGATGAGCAACATTAGGCAAGGACAAACAGACCAGGCCAGAACCAAGGATTCAGCAGGGCTCAGGGAAAAACCAAAAGTCAAGTCAAGCCAACAGACCGCAGAGACAATAACAACAACAACAACAGCAACAACGGGCTGAAAGTTGAAATTTTTGGCAAAAGCCTGGCCAACATGACAGTTAAGGAACGTTGGGGGAACAGGCCGCAAAAGTTGCTCATACGCCCCGT